CAAAAAATCAATTGCAAGAAATAAATTGATCAAAATACCCCGAAATATTTTGGGGTATTTTGATCAATTTATTTATTACAAAGTATTTTTTAAATATTTTTAATTAGGTGTGCCTTGATGAGAAGAATGGATGCTTAAAATTTCAAGTTATTTGGATTCATAAAAAAAATATTAAAATTCAAACATGAAATGAGGCTGTGACCGTCAGACCGGCCCAGATTCAATCTTGACTGTTGGACTCATATGTTTAAATGAGCTAGTGGGCTAATCTCAGTATTTTCCTATATATATATATGTGTGTGTGTGTGTGTGTGTGTGGTTTATATAGAGCCTACGCTAATTAAAATTTTAATTATTTAATTGTGACCGAGTGATGAAGTTTGGATAGTGATGGTGATGAGGTGTAGGTAAAGTATTATAGAACTTTACCTATATGCGTTTATATATATACTGTAGAACTTTACCTATGGGAATTCATTTTCACCATATCTAGGGTTCAAATTAAACTTTTTTTTTTGGATTGATTATTGAGATGAAGAGAGTGCGTGTGCAAAATTTTGGGTTATACAAATACCACCAACATGGTTTTCTAGAAGTGTGGTATTATAGTATGATACAATGTTTGTGTTTGCAAATATTATTGTAAAATACGAAATGCTCTATTTATAGGTTGAAATTACAAAGAAGGTCGGTCAACCTGCATTTTTCTTTCCAAAATTGTCCCTCGGTGCAAGGATTCCTCCTCAGAACGAATTTATAATTTTTTCTTTTAGTTTTTGCATCAATATGGATACTAGAAATAAAACTAAAACTAACGAAAAAAATAAAATTTCTCCTTAGATCAAGGAGCAATTTTGAAATAATACAAAAATGCGGGTTGACCGACCTTCTTCGTAATTTCCATCTATAAACTGAACATTTCATATTTTAGTAAAATTTTTAGAATCCATATTGAAATCACTCTAAAACTTATAAATAAAAGGTGAACTATTGTTTTAGGGGCAAGCTTTCTATGCTTCCCCTACAACATAAAACTTATGTACTTCCCGTTATCCAACCGTCCATTCTGAATGGAGGGCTAAGATTACCTTGATCACAATGCCACGTCTTTACACTATTTTATTTTTAGGTTTTTTTCTATAAACTATTTTGACACCAAATTGTGGATGTCCAATCCTCTATTAAACTTGTACTAGCGAAAAATATAAAAAAAATATTTCTAATAAAATAAAATGACCAAAATACCCTTAAAAATTTCAAGGGGTATTTTGGTAATTATATTTTATCAAAAATTATTTTTAATATTTTTTATTAGTGCGCCCCAATGAGAAGATGACACATACTAAATTTCATATTCATACAATTGTTATAAAAATGCTAAAAATAAAATACTTCGAAACGTCGGATTTAAGATCAAACGGTCAGTGGCTCTCTTGATCAAAATTTGATGCCTGGATGGTAGGGAAAACATAGATCTTCTATGCTGTAGGGAAGTATAGAAACCTTTCGTTTTTTTTTTAACAGTGTGAATGGGTAGCCAATCAATGAATTGTTTGTTATTTATTTAAATTATTTGTAGTCTCCTAACTAGCCTAGAAGGCCAACCATATGAAATGTCCATGAACTTTCGACCCTCCTGTCTCCGCTTGCTGTCATATATGTCTACCCCTTCACTACTCTCTGATATCATATTTAGGGTTTTCTTTGTAATTAATGGAATTATTCAAGTGAACAAATCTCCATTACTAAGAGGTTGTCTCGCACCTGGTATATGAGCATCTCAACAAGTATCATTTCCAGGTCACGAATCAAAGAAGATAATCTGGGTTTATCTTTTTCTCGACTCTTCGCCTTTGAGATCATCTTGAACAACATGTCAACAGCCTTGTCTTCCTTCCTTGCTACTTCCATTAATGACGCAATGCGCTATAAGGAAAATGGAAAAAGAACATAATCAAGAAAGTATTTATATAAGGTTGTAATTTTAAAATGTAGGATTAAGGCGCATCTAAAAAATCCATCATAAAAAGTTGTTTTGATATTGGAAAACCCACTAATTGATCATCTCGACGCCTTTGTTTTGATGTTGGAAAACCCTCTAATTGATCATCTCGATGTCGAGATGTATGAATATAAAAAGAGAAAACGATTTCGAGTCTCAAAAATAGTATAACTTGCAACACATTATTTGGATTGTCCATTCTCAAGATTTCCATGTGTTTATAGATCTAATTGATTTGAGTTATTTTCAAGGATTAAATTTTATAATTAAAGATGAAAATATATTCTTAAGCCCTTATGAGAATTTTTTACACCAAAATTATATTTATAATAAAATTTGGAAGTGTGCCTTAATTTGATTGTTTAAGGTTGTAACCTTATGCAAACCACACCCGAAAATCAATAATGCTAAATATAAAAAAGGGATTGTATAGAATAAGATCATTTACCTTTAGTACAATGATGTCACAACTGTTTATAACTATCCGATGTGAAATCTAATAGCTTGGATGTATCACAAAACTCGAGAAAATTTCTTTTTAAGTTCGAGCTTAGTAAATGTAATAAACGCAACCATCGAATTTTACATCCAATGGTCAAGATTAATTGTGACTGCGTTTTACCAAAGATAAATGGTCTCGTTGAATAGGGTAATCATACATAAGAGTATTTTCTTAAGGTACTTAATCTTTTTAGACACTTAATACACTTATCCCACCATATAGCAACTTTTTATTAAGAAGCATTTTAGGTAATTAATAAAGAATAAGGTAAAAATTTTAATAGAAAAAGAAGTATCTATTAAATATAGTGGAGGATGACATTATCTCCACATGAGGTGTGACAACACTCATATAGAGATTGTTTCTTAACCACTAATAATTTTTTCTTTTTATAGAAATCTCTATCATACCCCTCCTAATAACAAAAATTACCCTAACTAAATTTTTTTTTGTATTTATAAAAATAGGGCCAATAAATGTCTAAACATATTGAGTTTATTAAAGGAATACTCATATGTGTGAGTATCTTAACATAACTTTATGGTACTTATACATTTGAGTATTTTTTTAAGGTAGTCAACATTTTTTAACACTTGATATCCTTACTCCACCATGAGGTAAAGTCTTTGTCTAGGGGTATTTTAAGAAATTAAAACAAGATAAAGACTTGATAGAAATAAAAATATTTATTAATTATACTAGAGGATAACATTACCCCTATGGTGCAATAATGCTTCTTAACCGCTAGTAAAATGCCATTAATTTTTTATAGAAATATATTTCCTATCCTCCTAATGACAAAAACATACCCTTACCAAAAACAAAATTGTATTATAAAAGTAGGGACATTTAGTATCCAAAAATATTATGTATATTAAGAAAATACTCATATTTATGAGTGCCCTAAGATGACCCTTTATCTTTTATTTAAAAATTCGCTTTTTCTTCAAATTGGTGCATATATCTCTTTTTACAAGGCTTACAATATTCTGGTCAAATTTTGTTTTTCAAATATTTTTGTCTCATTACAATAGGTAGAAAACAAGAAATTAAAAACATAATAACTTTGTGGCCGAAGCCCTAGGTCGGGCTAACTGAGCGTACCAGGCCGCCCAGCCCATTGCTAGTCCCACTTTCCAATTTTGCTACTTTGCCACAGAGGTGCTAATTGAATTCTGGTGGGGAAACAACTTCATATCTATTTAGGTATAAAAATGATTTCCAATGGGGTCAAAAGATCTGTGAGAAGGATAACTATCCCCAAAGAGCTTTCAGCTAAAGAAAGCATGCTCTTGGTGATAGCAGCCTTCCAATTCCTTTCTTACTTCAGTTACAATCTTATTTTTTGAAAGGTATGGAAACTTTAAATATATGAAATGTTAAGTAGTTGATATTTTAGGTGATTTTGATCAATTTCCCAATTCAAAAACTATAAATCTCATGAAGACTAAGGATGTTCGAACCTGCAACTTGAAGGTGCCTGTGGTTTCCTCTTTTCCGATCTCTTTAAGCATGGATCTGAACTCCTCCTCGAGGCTGCCTAGACCATTGGGATCAAGGCAGACGTCCTTCGCCGCATAAAAGTTTTGCAAAGGAATGTAACCAAAATAAAGATAATCCATACAGAGGGACCTCAACGCTGGGCACTGCTTAAGAGTTAGTTCTATATGCCCGATTCTCGGGGTTTCTGCGAAGGCAGGCCTGCAAATTCCTACCCTTGTCAAGCCCAAGGACACAGCTAAACATAAGACCATAATGGCATGACCACCAATTCTCCTTTCTGCACTAGTCGAAGTATCTGGGGTCCTCTTACCGGTGGCATCAGAAAACAGGGAAGTAATCTGGGAAGGAATGTGGAAACTTGTGGCTTTAATGGAGCACCACAGAGAGAGTGACCGAGGGCGCACCAAACGGTTAACCGAGTAACAGAGGAAGTTCGACGAATTTTGGCATTTGGGGATGGAAAGAAGTGAGAAATTCTGGATTGGGTTTGTGTTTGCCGAGAGTTTCAGGGTTAGGAATGTGGCAGCCATTAATGGATCTCCCACAAAAGGATTTCAAATTTCTTTGTATCTCATGGCAGAGAAATAGCCCTTAGACCGAATTATGCTCAGGAAAAAATATAGGTTTGGCACAGCAAAGGAATTGGAATATTTTTATGTTACTTTGGGAGCTTTGAAGCAAGGTATGAACAAGCAAACAAGCAATTGGGTGGGGTTGAAAGCATGAAAAACGTGGTCCATGGCGTCCACCGAACATAAGGAAGTTCACATTTACCTTTTGCTGAGTAATCCGCCGTGGTCCTTCATAATGAAACCACAAATGATTTAAGTTTGGAAAACGTTTATATTGAGCTGAGGATTTAAACAATCAAGTTGAAGCCTACTATAAAAATTTCACTAGAAGAGGTTGTTTTAATGCCCAAATATCCTCTAATTGATCATCTCGACATCAAGATGTATGGACATAAGAAAAAAATGGATTTTTAGTTTTGAAAATAGTATATTTTGTAACGTATTTTTGGAACATCAATTTTCAAGATTTTCAAGTTTTCATAGATACGTCGATCTACACTAGTTTGAAGCTTTAAACTTTATATATAAAGATGAAAATATATTTTAAGGCTATCACAACGATTTCCAGTATTAAAACCACATTTCTTGAGAATATTTGAAGGTAGGCTCTAATTTGATTGTTTAAATCCTAGGCTCTATACAAACCGCACCCAGTTTAAGTTTTTCACGAGCAATTAGATGGAAAACCACAAGCTCAGGTCATTCCATGAGGAACCAAATTGGTTACTCGGTCCTATAGTGAAACACCTAATTTAAGAATTTGATAGGCTCAAAACTCTAAAACTGCATTTATAACACTCAGTTTAATTAAGGAAAAATTTGAAACTACATCTAAGATTTGACTTTTTTAATGGACCAGGTTTCCATGTGGCCCAGCCCGCATATGTAGAAATGCGGGCCTATTAATAAATTTGTATTTGAGATGGATTTTTTAACTTAATTGTTAAGAACATGTGATCTCTAACATAGAGATCCTGAATATGAAAAATAAGTAAATTTTAAAAGGTAGAAATATAAAAGGTAGAAATAATAATTCTAGTAAGAAAACATTTGGACCGTTGGTTTCCATTGTTTTTAGATGAAACACCTCCTTGCGTACATCTTTAAGATGGATGATTTATACTCTTTGGACCGCATATGTAGTCATGTAGTTCAGCCCACATGAAACAATTTTCCTTATTTAATACAACTGGTTCTAGGTAAGATTTAAATTATTTAATACAACTGGTTCTAGGTGAGAACCCTTCGGTTCACCATAGGAACTGGTCAATTCCTTGGGACCATATAGATCCATGCAATTTCTATTTTCTATTTTCTAAATTTAAATTACTAGAGGCTGCATATGTGATTTTTATTTATTGTATGTTTTCATTTTTTCACATTTTTGTTATTTCTAAAGAATTCTAGAGAGAGAAAGGCACTTTTAAAAAGATAAATTGTGCTCCACTTTAATCTATTGTGATGGTTCTTTCATTGTATATATAATTGTAAAACAATGGTATTACAATGGTATACAATGGCAATATTTCAATATACACTTTCCTACCTCGCTACATTTTATAATGGTAATATTTTCTTTCTATTCTCCTCCTCAAACTCAGTTGTGGATCTCGAAAAACATCTCGCGGTAAAGGCTTGGTGAAGATATCAATTACTTGAATACGAGAAAAAACAGCCAGAGTGATAAGTAATCCAAGAGCACCTGTTTCAAGCACAAAAAGATAATCTAACTCAATGTGCCTTATCTGTGCATGAAAACATGATTAACTGTCATGTAGAGAGCGTTAATATTGTCACAAAAAATGTTGGTGCATGAGGAAGAGGCACTTCAATATCTCGAAGAATAAAAAAAAACCATGTCAATTCTGCAGCAGTGGATGCCATAGATCGATATTCTGCCTCAGCACTGGAATGAGCCATAGCCAATTATTTCTTAGCACTTCAATATATGCAGTTGGAATCAAGATATGTGTAAAAACTAGTGGTTGAGCGATGAGTGATTGGACATCCAGCTCAGTATGCATCAAAGAAGACATATGACTTAAATGAACTAGCATAGAAGATTCTTATAACGCATGATTGTGTGCCATTGAGATAACGAAAAATCCGCTTAACTACTTGAAAATGTGTAATTGTTGGGGCATGCATAAATTGACATACTGTATTAACACTATAGGAAAGGTCTGGGCGTGTTATGGTAATGTATTAAAGTGCATCAACAATACTCTGATAAAGAGATGGATCAAGAAATGGATTAGAATTCCTATGAATAGTATTATTCATTGTAATTGGTGTTGAAATAGGTTTGGCACCTAGCATCCGAGCATGATCAAGAAAATCCTGGAGCATATTTTCTTTGTAAGAGAAAAATCCCGCCTGAAAAATATTATACCTTTATACCAAGAAAGTAATGAAGAGGTCCAAGATTTTTCATTGCAAATTCCCTTCCAAGTTGAGAAATGAACCATTCTAGAAGATTTAAGTTATCACCAATAACAATAATATCTTCAACATAAAGGAAAATGATAATAACGTCTTTAGTAGTGCAAGAAACAAATAGAGATCAATTAGCAATGCTGCAATAAAAACCTAATGATAATAAATGGGTACTAAATCGATCAAACCAGGGCTGTGGTGTTTGCTCTGATGCTATAAAAATTCTAAAGAGAATAATGAACTATTGAGAAGGTAATACAATGGTATGGCAAAATACACTTTTCTATCTTGCTACCTTCTGTAATGGTAATATTTCAATATATACTTTCCTATTATATAATTTATTGGTGCTCACCTTTTCTCCAACCTTTTTAATGCGAAATTATTAATCTTTTAAAGTCTAAACATAAACTTTTGTTGGTTATGAGCGTGTACCCCGCCTAAAATCTCTCTCTCTCTTTTTTTTATGGAAAAGGTAAGGAAATGAAGATGAAAATTTTGATTGCGAAAATGCCTAAAATAATAGATGGAGAGGTAGAATGGAATAAGAATTTGGATGGCTTTGCACATTCTACGAAGGAGAAGATGTTGAAGAGAGAGGAATCACAAGGCTGTAAAGTTTATAATGCATTTTTGGACCTTCAATTTTCAAGATTTTCAAGTTTTTATTGATCTGCTTGATCTACATTATTTTTGAAGCTTTAAATTTTATAATTAAAGATAAAAAAATATTTTAAAGCTATCCCAAAAATTTTCAAAAGTGAAACCATATTTGTCAATACTATTTGAAGATGCGCTTTGCATTGATTGTTTAGAGCCTCGTTTCAATGCAAACTACACCCTTTTAATAAATACACAATGTATTTAATGATCAACCAAAGAATGGAAATAAAAAATTTATAAGGACAATTTTTTTGTAAATTTGAGAATTTATTAAAAATAATGAAAAATAAAAAATAATATGTAAATTATCTTATTTTATTTGGGTAATTTAATATGTAAATTATTTGACAAAATATGAAACAAAAACATGAAGAAAATTAAACATAATATATTAAAAATATTTAAAAAAATACAAGGGATATTTTGCAAAAATTAGTAAACCGAGCTAGAAAAATATCTATTTCAATATAAATCAATGGAAAAATTAACAAAATTGAACATAATATGAGTTATTTATAATAAAATAAATTTGTTCAAATTTTTTCGGCTTTTTTTTCTTTAGTTCAGTAGGGATAGACTCCCCTACCCATAATAGGAGTAGAACTCAAAAGGTGGCAAGCCACCATCTGAACTGCCTAGCCTTGAGCCTTTTTTAATATATGAGGTATTTTTCAAAAAAACGAGCTTAGATCTCTACAAATTTTGCACTTGATCTAACGATTTTATATAGTCTTTGGCTAGTGCGATCAACCACAAACATTTTGAAACAAATGTCAAATTTTTTGGTTGAGATACGAGAGAGAGCAATAAAAAAAAGTGGATTAGGGCTTCAACCATATGAAATCAGTATGTTTTGAACCAATTTCTTGTAGAGGATAAAAACTAAGGTTTGAAAAAAATAAAAGAAAGAAAAATAGTGCAGAAAAAATTAAAGAGGTGAGGCACAAAGATTTACATGGATCAACAAGTTGCCCTATGTCCATGAGGCAGCAAAATTTTCTTCCACTAATTAAAAAAATATCATACAAGCATAGAGAATATAAGGGATTACAAGCTTTCTCTCATGCCTTAAAGCAGGGTCTTTCTCTTACTAGAATACTCACCCAATGATTAAAAAAACCTAACCATTTTCTCTCTATTTTTATGTCTCTTGTTCAAATATTTTTTCTCTCTACAAAAACAAACGTCTATAAAGAAGAGGCTCAAGAGACCCACGTGACCATCTTTTTCCCATTCCTAGTTTCTAGGTTCAGATATGTTTCCTATAAAATAGGAATTCTAAGATATATGTGAAAGCATATAACATACAACCTCTTTCCTATTTCCTATAACTACATGGTTTCAAACTGTACAAAATAGGATTTTTATTTATATATATATATATATATATATATATATAATCTTCCCAATATCTATAGATGAAAATGAAGAGTGATTTCACCTACCTTCAGCATAGTCTAAAGTTCATCGCACAGTCACGATTGTCCAGTACTGTTTCTTTTTTAATTTTTTTCTACAAATCAAAATGATCTTAAATTTCGAGCTTGTGTACATCTTAGTGAGGCGTACCTAATAAAAATATAAAAACTAATAATTTACTAAAACAAATTGACCAAAATACTCATGAAAATTTTCGGGGGTATTTTGGTCAATTTATTTCATGTAAATTTTTTTAAAATATTTTTGGCAAATTCTCTTAATTTTGATGAAAACACGTTCCAAATTTCAGATCATTCTGATTTATCTAAA